ATATGTTGTTGATATGTATGTTTTTACGTAATTAACAAAAACATGCATTCCGATTCTTTTGTCTAGGTACTGTATATACTTCTGATAGGATGGAAAAATTGACATGCAATTCAAGTTTGATGAACATCCTGCGGCTGCAGATTTTGAAAAGAAATGCGAAAATGAATTTTCCCAAAACTTGGTAACTGGTAAAAATATTAATGATCAATTTATGTTGCGTTTTCATATCCAATGAATGCATTCAAGAATTATTGTTAATAATAAGTTTATTTATTTAGCTATTATTTAGTAACACAAAACATCCAATTAAATTTGGAGATGAGAAAATATTAGATTTTGCCTGTTTTCTTATTTGCAAATAGGGTTGTTAACGGTCCGGTATGGTCCAAAGACCGTCGTCTAATTAAAGGACTGGACCGTTGGACCAGTCCGAGACCGCGGTCCAGACTTAGGGTTTCTATCCGAAAAAACAAAATGAAACGAATGGAACGAATGACTCGAATGAAACAATTAAATGTATAAAGCGAATAAACGAATAAACGAATAAACGAATAAATGAATAATAATAAATGAAAGAATTAAGTAATTAATAAAATAGATAAAATGAATAAATCAAGTAATTCAAATAAAACAAATGATTCGAATAAATCAGGTAATTCGAATAAAATGAATAAATCAAGTGATTCGAATAAATCAAATGATTCGAATAAATCAAGTAATTCGAATAATAATAAGAAAATGATTCGAATATTTCGAAGAATTTGTACCAGAAGGAATGGGCATTCATATAAACAATGAGTGAATTTTGATTTATATAAAACTGTATATACACACTTGATCACCAAAAGTTTATATCAGAAATTTCTTTTGCATTTATTACAAAAATATACTAAATAAATATTTGTGATTTTTATATCATTTTATAACTTTGGTACTTGTGATTACGAATGTGATTTTTGATTTTTGATTTATGAAATTTTTATTATGAGATATTTTAAAAATAAAAGTCGATATTGAAATTTTAATTATGAATTAAATTGCATCATCCTATCTTAGGAAGGTGATAATTAGAGTAACCTTTGACACTAAGGAGTATTTTAAATATTTTAAGCCCGAAATAATCTCCAACATTGTTTTTGGTGATTTCCGAATTGTTTAAAGTAGTTTTATGGTGATGGAAATTGTTTAAAAAAGATCGAAATTTTTTTCAAAATTATTTGAGATTAGAGAGTAGAAACCAAAAATTTGAGTCCCATATTTTTTTTGAATTGAGTAAATAAATACAAGCTAACAATAATTGATGGCTTATAAAGTAATTATAAAATTTCAGTTATTACGCAAGTATTTAGCTCATTTTTGCAAAGTATGTCATCGTATAAAAATAATTAATGGTTAAATATGAAAATTGCAACCCTCGCCATACATTTATTATTATTATTGTTATTATTATTATATATTGGGCCGGAAAATAAAACCTGCCGTTAATATTAACAAAATAAAGGATTAAATATTTTAATAAATATTTCCTAATTAATTACATATTTATAAATACTTTGTATTGACATTGAAATTAATATTAATAATGCAATAAATTTTTAGATTTTTTGCCATTATTGTTATAATTATTCAATAAGTGGCATTATCAGGGAAAACCGTATTGCCTCTTTTCTTCCGCAAAGGTTCTCGACTATTACACTTCGGTTTACAAGCGGTTATGGCGCTTTTCTTTCCACAGATAATTAATGGATTATTCATTTTATCTTATTTTTATAAACAAGCGTGTTGTTATGATGTTGCAATACTTGATACCTTACAGTTATTTTATGATGGTAAAGATGTTCCTGATGATTATATATATATAACCATTTATCAATTAATATTTACTTAAAAAAAAAAATTATTTGAACCTTTTTCATAAACTCACTTGAACTATTTCCTTGAGATATTGTTGGATTGTGACCTTGCAATGTTTGATTTCAGTGGAATAATTATGACACAGTCTTGAGATCAATAAATAAGGATAGCCTTTCCAATTAACAATAACAATTTTTATTATATGTTTGTTTTATTAGTATGAAAAATTACTGTTCAAAAGAGAAATCAAGTCGTTTAAATACTTCTTATTGTTTCACCAAATTTATAAATGATAAAGGTAAAACTCGAGATAGGAAAAAAAAAAAAATGGAAAAATTATGGCAGAATTTACAATTCCGTGTTGATCAAAATTGAAAAACACAAAGTTTCCTTTTTGATACTACATTATAATTAATATTAGGAAAATATTATATACAGAAAGGTTCTTTTAATGGAATATACAGAACCCTACCAAAAATAGCAATTCATTCTATAA